CTGACGCCGCTGGAAGCCATCTAGGGGGCCTCTTTGGGCCGACTTGGGGCCCTCTTGGGGCGCTTCAGGGCCGTCCTGGAGATCATCTTGGGCGGCTTAGAGGTCTTGGGGCCGCCTTGGGGGCCTCTTGGGCCGTGAGGGGACAACCTCGGGGGCCTCTTGGGCGCTCTTGGGGCCTTCTTGGTAGCCTATGGGGCCGTCTTGGGCCGTCGGGAGGTCGAAAATCAGCAAACGCCCAAATCGTTCGAATCCATACGGAATATGATTGAATTTGGCATAGTCAGGCCTTTCCGGGGTGCCTGTTCGGCCGTCTAGGAGGCCTCTTGGGTCGTTTTGCAGGATCTTGAGGCCATTTTGGGCCATCTGAGGAATTCCTTTTGGGGCGAAAGCTCTAAGTGTCAGTTCGTGCTCCCCTCTTTGGGCCCCTCTTTGGGCCTTGTTCGGCCGCCTTGGGTGGCCTCTTGGGTCGTCTTCCGGTTAGTTTGGGCCCTCTTTGGGGGCCGTTTTGTGACGGTAGTTGAGTCCTCTTGGCCGTCTTCGAGCGTCGGGAGCCCGACAAAAACGATAACGCTAAATCCGGCGAACCCGCACGGAGTCTCAATGATTTTAGACTCTTCGGTCCTTCTTGGATCTCTCTTGAGCGGCCTCTTGGAGTTTTTGTTGGTGCGTCATAAGGTCTGGCGGCAATATTGGGCGTCTTACGGCGATCGTTGGGCGACTCGGGGGCTGCTTCGAAGCGCCCAGAACCTCTTGGGTTGTGCACACTTTACAGCATATGATAATATTCAGCGGAGAGAACTCTGAGGGACCCGAGGACACTCCAACTCGTGCCTCGACGCACGGTGGCGGATCGTTCGCCTTCTTCTACTTGCTAACCTTGCCCTGCAGCTGCAGGCTTTGACGCTGGAGAATGCCGCAGATGAGGCCCTGCTCAGGCGTGCCGGTTATGGTGCTGCAGCGGCAGAAGTCGACAGTCGCAGTGGCATGTTAGACCTTCAGTACCTTATGGACCAACACGTTGCGTCGGAGGCCGAGCTCCATGCCCGTGCGGCCGAGACGTGGCGCAAGTATTCTGGCCAGCTGGCCAAAAATGGGTGCAACTATCAAGGGGGCTTGCTGCCTTGCCCCAATGGCAACATCTGTTATTACACGGGGCATGGAGGTCTGAACGTGACGGCCACAGTGGAGTATCGTGGGAATATCATCAAGACAGTCTTAACCCCTGATCCAGATGCTGCAGTCGACATGCCAGAAATTGTAACGTTTATGGGGGCTGGCACCAACGATGCTCCTGCAATGTTGATGGACGTACCAGCGGAATATCGCAGAACAGAGAACCCTGTGATGCTGAAGATGTTTTTCGTGGAGGACACTGACAATGTTACTGAGCAATGCCCTCATGATAGTGAGCGCGTGGAGTCCATGGGTAACAGCACCGCGTCGTACCAGGTTGATAACAACACGTTCGCAGTTTCAGCGCAAAGCCCAAACACGTTCATGGGCATGGCCTTCGATTTCGTCAGCGAGGCACCTGTTGGTCACACCCTGGCCTTCGAGATCCCTTCTGGGACGGAGATCGTCTGGGTGAGCCGTGAAGAGATGGTCGAGGTGCTACAAACGCAGGAGATGCCGGCTTCTCTCGAGAGGCGCCTTGAGGCGCAGTTACGCAAAGCTTCCTTGGCCAAGGGGATGGATGGCGCACTCACGCAGAAAGGAAGCAGGCGGCGCAGGCGGCGCAGGGCGAGGTGCACTGGTGGACAGATTGGGTCCATGGCAGGAGGTGCCGCCGCCGTGGGCGTCGCTTTTTTGCTCTGCGCGTTTACATTCATTGGCTGCTTCACGGCGTCGCCGTTCTTGATGTTTGCTGGGACAACGATGGTGAAAAGCGGTGCTTGCCAATGCTGGGCAAACGGCAATGCTGGGAAGACCGCCTGCGCGTTGCGGTGAGGGCGGCGAGGATTGCTTGGGCGCGGTAGTGGTCTCCAATTGCAGGTTACCCGCTGATGTATTGCAACCGCTGCCCACTCTGCGAACTCAGTGTTCGTGTTCTGGCGCGCATGCACTTTGCGGTCAGATATTTTTAACTTTTCGTGGCATCCGTTCTCGCCCGACTTTCTGCCGACGCGCCGTGTAGGCGCGGCTTCTTCCAGTCCAGTCCAGGTAGTGATCTCCAATTGCAGTTGGCGTGCTATCTATCTGGCCATCGTGATACTGGAAAAGAGGACGTCTTTGGCCCGAGGTGTCCCCAGGCAGCCTCCAGGAATGACTCGCGCTCGTCGCGCCAGCACGCGTGTCGGCAGGGCGTGCCAGGGTTTTCCCCTGCCGCGCCCTCGCCGCTCGTGACCCTGAAGCCTGAAACTTCCAACAGATCCACGGATGGAGGCAAGGATGAGGGACGTATCGTGTTCAGCACGATCATCTCGCGATAGCGCCGTGCGCATTCGTCTCGAAACCTTTTTCAAACATGGCGAGGATAGAGGGCTGTCCGCTTTCAAGATGTGGTTCTCGCCTTAGCGCTGGTCGCGTTCGCTGATCAAGCAAATTGCAAGGACGGAGCGCGGTCCAGTTGACAGCCGGCTCGCAGGGTTGGGCACGTCTCGGGTAATTTGAAAGGGATGATTGGCCTGAACACAGCAGGCAATATGCTGCCCCCCCGCCGTCCCTGGCAAAGTGCACACCGCATATTCATTTGAAACGGATCGTGGACCAGCGCACAGCAGACAATATGCCGGCCTCCCCGCCGCCCTTGTCGTATCCTTGCAAAGCGCTCGCGGAGCGCCCGCGCACGATCCAGATTCTTGTCCTGTTTTCTTTGCGCGGGATAGTGGGGGATTGTTGACAGTGCACACAGCAGGCAATATGTTGCACCCCCCGCCGTATGTGCAACAGAACCTATGCAAAGTGATCGCGGGGTGCCCGCGCATGATCCAGATTCGTGGTGCAAAATGCTTGTTTTATGCAAGGGATGGTGGGAGGGTGTTGGCATTGTTCCAGATTTGTCGCGGGTCGGGAGGAGGATGGGGGTGTTTACCAGTAAGGAACAGTGACAGATCCCTCCCCGAAGGGGAAGGAGCGGGCTGGAAGAGGAAATGTGCTGCGAAACCACTCACGCCCTGAAGCGCTGGTGTGATTGAGCGGCCCGCGTGCTACTGGCGGATGAGACTGCAAGCAGACGCAGTGAGCCGCATCGGGCGTGAAACAAGCCATCCTCATGCAAAGTGAGGTCCCGCCTGGGAGGAAGGATGATCTTCGGCAGGTCGCCTGAGGGTCGGCTCGGAACGCCGGCCTTTTACGTCCTGCGCCGTGCTGCGCCGTGCCGTGGTTCTCGTTCCGCCTCCGGCGGCCCCAACGGCGAACCTGCGCATGATCGACGGTCGTGGCGCAACAGCAGCCAGAGGGTGAGAGCACCAGCCCTGATCATATACGGTGGGTTCGCGTCGTATCGACTGGCGGCGATCCCGCCGCTGGCGTTCAAGGTTGAACGCCGCTGGCGGCCCAAGATCGGCCAATATTGAAAGATCTGACGCTTCGGAAACTGTCGATCCTTCATGGTTGAACGATCCCCGCGGTGTCAGGAACCAGCGCCGAAGTCGGTACGACACGACCCCGCCGTACAATATCCCATGGGGAGAGTTACCCCTGCCACGGTTCGCCAGGGGGGGTGGGCCCAGGTTGGCCAGAGGGTTGTTTGAGGCTGGCCGGAGTGTTGGCCAGGGTAGTTCTTCGATTATCGGGCCGGACGAAAGGGGGGGATTGGGAAAGGGGGGGTTACGAAATTTGCTCCATGCAGCTGGTTTCGGCCTCACCGAGGGGCCCATTCCTCGATACATAGCCGCCTCTGGCGCCGGGAGGCGCCGGGAAAATCAGCTACGTGAGCTGATTCTCAAACCCCCCCTTTGCTATCCCCCCCTTTCGCCCGACCCGAGATTAGTAGTCCTTCCCAAATGGCCGTCGAAGTTGTGATCGTTTTCTTATTCATTGTTTTGCCGATCTCGGTGCCGGCCCGGGCACCCGCCTTCCCATCCCCCATGGAGTAAATCTTGTTTTTTGGGCGCCTGTTCAAGCAGGTGGAGTCTCCCGCATAGGACGCACTGCTGCAAACAGAAGCAGTCCGCTGAGGTCCAGTGCCAGACCTCCCCTCCCTTCACCCCTTCCGCCCAGTGTCGAAGCGCCGAAAAAGAAAACGTTCCCGTTCTCATTCCGCAGCCGTTCCCACCAGGAGCAGGGGGCAGGAATGGGGACCAAAAAAGCAGCATGGGCGTGAACTCCAGGATTAAGTCGGGCCTGTCCCCCTACAGGGGGATTTTCGACGAAAAATAAGAGATACCCCAAAAAATTATCCAAAAATAGTCTGGGTAATATTTTGTAAGTATTTTTGACCTTCTTGGAGAATTGTTGGGGTATCTTTATTTCTTCGTCGACAATCCTCCTATAAGGGGGACACGCCCGACATAACTCCAGGAGGTTCGCGCGCAGCTCCTCTCTCGGATCGGCGTGGGGCCCTCCTGCCCGGCGAGCGGAGCGCGCCAGGGGCGCCGCCGGGGGGGGCTCCAGCGCCGATCCAAGACATCCGCGCGGAGTTCCGACATCCAAGGGCGCCCTCGAGGGCGCGAAGTTAGTCGCGCTACGCGGTTCGGCCCCATAGGAGCTCCGCTGAAGATCCCAGTTCCGCAGTTCGCATGCGTCCCCGCCACGCATTTCGGCAGTAGCGGTATCGATCGGTACCTTCCGGTCTCCCCCGTGGTGCGCGGCGTGACGCGTGCGACCTTCTCCTGGCGCCAGCATCGCAGAGCGGATTTCGTTTGGAAAACGGCAGGATGGGCCTGGAGTGTCCTGGAGAATGTCGCTCTGGACTTCGAAGTGTGAATCCCGTGCCGAAATTCGCTTCGCTTTCCGCCCGCCGTTTCGGGGTTCTGCGCTGACGGGAAGGCGCGCCACAATCCGCTGCAGCACGTCTGCAAGGGTGGCGGTGCGCCCTTCCCGCGGCCTCCCCCGGCGAGGCCGAGGAGGAGGCCGAGGCCGAGCGCCTGGCCGCGGGCGGGGCCTGGCCGGCGACAGGCGCCGGGCCGCTCGCGCGGGGCAGGGCAGAGGAGGCCCCTCCGCGGGAGGACGAACAGAGATCGGCTACTCCAGATTTCGTAATAAAAGGGAGGGGGTCTGGACCCTCCAAGACAAGGCATTTCAGACCCCCCTCGTGGGAGAACCCTCCAAACATCGTCCCCAGACCACCCCAGGCCCTCCAAGATAGCTTGGAAAAGACCCCCCCCCGAAATGAGACCCCCCTCCCTTTATTACGAAATCTGGAGTACACGTAAGAGTGACCCTTGGCCGGAGTGACCTTCAGTGCGGGCTCCATGGGGCCCCCCAATCGCCGAAATTCGCCGAGTGCGAGGCGATGGCGCCGGCTTGCGCGCCGGTGCTTGGCCCCCAGGCGGCCCCCGCTGAACCGCGCACCAGAGGTCACTCTTACCCAGGGTCACTCTTGCGTGTAGCCGAAGAGATGTCCAGGCCTCCGGCTGCCCCTCGTCAGAATCGAGCTCAGGAGTGGCGAACACGCCCCTGCGATGTCGACAGACGCCCTGCGATGTCGACGGACGCCCCATCCGACGTCGGGGCCAGGGCAGAGCTGGTCTGACCAGGAAGGACTCGGAAGTTCGATGGTGACCGACACTGGAGGGGCGGCGCATACAAGTACCTCGCCGTCATCGCTACTCTGTCCGGTATCTCCCCACGAACAGTTCAGCCACGTAAGACATGTTTGAGGTTAATTTTGACGAGGGTCGTTAATGGGGTCGGAGTATCAGTATCGTTCAACCGATCCCCATCCCCATCCCCATCCCGAGCCCCACCATCTCAGCACACCAGTTCGGGATAGATCCCTTCGAGACCCGAAGGCAACAGCCTATACCCCCATCTAGGAGAGTAAATCGGCCCGTGGGGCCGAGGCCACGGCCATGGGGATAGGGATCGGTTAAACGATGCGCACCATCGGTCGTTGAAAGCAGGTATTTTGGGATTTCCAGATTCCAATCTACTTTCGGCGCCCTCCTACTTCAACAATCGAATGGCTTCACCTGTTCCGTTCTCCTTTTTGGGGGGCGGGCGGGAACCCAACCTATTTTCAACGCCTTCCTGCTTCAAGTTTCTACCCACTTCTTCCGACCGATGGGCAGATCACGGCAGCGTCCGCTCGTCTTGGAATTCGTGAGAATACCGGCGAACAGCGCCAAAAAGCGCTCCATAGCGCCCAGTGACGCCGACTAGAGCTCGAGAAGCGCCCGAGAGTGTGCAGCAGCGCCCGCGCCACGTGAGGGAAATGCATTCTGTCCGCTGTGCGCGCGATTGGGCGCGTTATTGGGCGGCATGGAAACGACCAAAAACTTCCGTAAGCTGGTTTCTAAGGACACGTTTTGCAGTTGAAATTAGTTATTATCGGTGCTCGGCGGTTTTTCAGCCTCGTGGTGCGTTCCATCAGCTGCGCCCCGCCCAGCCGATGCATCGGCGACGCGGATGGATTTGGAGCCCGAATTTCTCCACCCCGATGTCGCCGATGCATCGTCGACGTCTCCGATGCATTGGATGTGCATCGGCGATGCGGCGCGATCTTCGACCCCATCTGCTCGGACCTCATTCGGAGGGCCTAGGAGTCCCGGGTCTCAGCGCTTCGGTCGGCTCGGTTGTATCGCAGTCGGTCTCAGTCGGTTTGGTCGGTTCGTTGCGGTTGAGTGCCGTGTCGTTGTTGCGTCGTTACGTTTTCTTGGGTTGCTTGCGGCTTGTCGGTTTCAACTTCGCGGTCGGTCATGTCGGTCGGAATGCGGTCGTGTTGTTGCTGTGGGCGGCTTTGCCATCACCCCGCGAGTGCAGATATTCTGCCACAAGAAAAATATACACAGACACCTTCCACTGTATTGTTCTTTGGCCTCAGGGGAGGGTGGCGGTGTATAAATCACCACTGAGAGCCAGCGATTTAATACACACGGAGGTACACGCAAAATTCGTCAGAGGGTGCCTGTGTATGTATATGTGTATATAGGTGTGTGTATATATATATATATATATATATATATATATATATTGCCGTGGCGTAGGTACAGTTGGCTCAAGGGGTAAGATCACCCGCAGATTTGGAGGGGCACCCTTCTGTGTTATTAGTGCCCGGGCTTCTTGGAGTGACATTCGCTTCGGACATTCCCATAGGGGTCTGGGGCCTTCGGCAAGGCCTCCCAAGAGGGCCTCGCAGGAGGCGACCGTCACTGATGTTCCGCAGGTTTTTCGACGGGGTTCGGGCGTTCTCGCACACTCGGTCTCCCGACGCTCCATGACGGCCCAGGAGGCCCCCCCACGATCGCCCCACGACGGCCCAAGAGGCCTCCCAGAGGGCTCCAAGAGGACCCCCAGGAGATAATTTTTTCCTGATGTTCCTCAATCCGGCTTTTCAGTGCTTTTAGCGGCCTCGCCGGTTCGGACGCCCGACGCTCCCAGACGGGTGCTCTCGATCGTCGTTCTCGAGGCCCTGTCTCGACGGCAGCAGTGAGTGGTACGGCGTGGAGTGGGCACCGCTGCGGATGCGGCTTGGTTACCAGCTCGCGCAGACGGCCTGGGCCTCGGGACCTTCGAGCGTCGAGTCGGTGTCTCGGCTCGGCTCAGGACCCTTGGTGACTGGACCCCGCTCGGTCCTGTCGAGGTGTTCCCCAGCTGCACTGGCCATCCCGTGCCAGTGCAGACACCTCTGAGGGAGCGCGGCGGCAGTGAGGGGGGCGTGAAGCGAAGGGAGTGCCCCCGCGCTCTCCCCGGGTGCCCCTCACCGGGGGCACCCCGCACGCACCGCCCCGTCGTCCAGTCGCGCGCACGCGCGCAGGACAGGGCGAGGCCACGTGCCCCCCCCCCGCCTGGCGAGCGAGCGAGCAACACACACACACACACCCGTACCCCTAATCGACCAAGAACCAATCGACACCCGCTCCACCTACGACCCGCTGGGTCGTAGGTGGGTCGTAGGGTAGGTGGGGCGGTGTCGTAGGTGGGTCGTAGGTGGTCGTAATCGGGGCAAGTGCCCAAGCTTTCAACATCGCTGTGTCGCATGTGGGGTGGTCCCCTTTTTGGTTTCTGGCCCCATACTGGGATCGGAGGGAGGAGGACTGGCTATGGGTATGGGTGCGTGTCGTGGGTCACAGAGGGGGGGGCTCCCGTTCGAGCGGGGGAGCCATCCGAAAAAAACGCACCCATAGCCTCTTCCGTCCCCCCGATGGGTAGGTGTCTGTGTGTGTGTTGTTCACTCGTCACCCTCACTCTGACATGCGCATACAACGAACAACCAAATACTGTATAAGCATAACTTGAACTTTTGGAGCTTCGCGCGGATTTCTCGGACCTGCGTTGGGCCCCCCCTTAGCGGAGCCGCCCCTGGCGCGTTCCGTGCGCCAGGGACAATTGTTTCCCGAATGCAGCTGATCTGTCGGAGATGCGCGCGCATTGCTGGGGCCAGTGTTGGATCCCCTCCCCACACCCTTGCCCTTCCCCCCCCAAACAAAAACAACGGCGTAAGGCGACGTGCGACACGCAACAGGCACGCACCGCGGAGCAACGAAAGCTTGCGGCGGCCGAGCAGGAGAAGGTCTCGCACTTCTTACAGCCAAGACGGCTGGAATCGGGAACAGTCGGGGTTCGGCAGCAGCTCGCTGATCATCAGGTCCTTCCATGGTTGTTTCTCTGGCGCTGCGCTACGCGTGCACTCGGGCGGTTCTGGGGCAACAAATGGTTTCGTTCCTTAGATAGCGCTTTTTCTTGTAACAGGTTGAGTGGACTCGTGCCCGCGAAGGCTTCCCAGGAGTAGACTCCTAACCTTCTCCCAGAGGACCGCATGTGTTCAGAGATGGTCTCCTCCTGGCTCGATGTCGCACTAGCTCTTCCAGGGAAGCCCAGATGGCCTCCATGTGCTTTCCCTTACGAGGCCCACGATGGCCCCAGGGGGGCCACGATGGCGTGAAAGGCTATGGGCACGTCAAATGCTGATCGATCCGACTCGATGTAGAGTTCAACTGGCCCGATTTGGTTCGACTCCGACATCCCGACGATCTAGTGCGGCCCGGTGCTTGCATGACATTGGCGTGCATCTTGGCGCCGCAGATCCGATTCGATCTCGACTCCGTCCCGATGCGTTGGCCCACAGCGGCCTGGCCCTGCATCTATAGGCAAGGCATGCGCGTTCCAAGAAGCAGCCTCAGCCTCCTGAGAAGCCTGGGTAGGTTCGCGAGCGTGAGGCGTGCGACAAACTAGGTGCACCATGCTTCGGGCGGAGGCCCGCTGACGCTACGCATACGAGAGTGAGAGGGCCGACTTGTCAGTCACTGTCCCTGGACGTGTGGCTGAAGTGGAGATCCTCGGCGCGGTGCATGCTTGCAGTGCTGTGTCTGTTGCTGCTGCTACTGTTGCTGGCATTGTTGGTACTGTTTTGGAATCTTCATTTTTAAAGAACAAAATTATTGTTGATCCCCTCCTCTGGGGCACATTGCGTTTTTCGGTTAAAGTGCTCCTCCAGGAGCTCGCACCCGGTTTTTTAGAAGGGAAAGCGGGGGGTCACCGAATTGGGCCCCTGGCCCCCGAGTTACAACAACAACAACGGCTCCCGCTTGATACTTCCACACAGCTTATTCCCGAATCGCGCTCTCGCGCGGGACTTCCCCACAATTAGTACAGAAATCGCACCCTCGACGCTCAGGCATCACGCTCTGGCTCTGGATTTCCTCGCGATTTATTTGGGACGCGCCGTCGCTCGACACTTTTTTGTGATTCGTGCAGGACGCACGCTTCAGCAACCCGCCTGCTCGATCTGGCCGTCTGGGCCCGCCTGCCCGATCCGCCTGCAAGGGTCTACCCGCCCAATCTGCCCGTCTGGTTCTGCCACGTGTTCTCTGCTCCTGGCCCCATCTGCTGCTACTTTCTCTCGGGCTCCATCCTCCTCCCTCCTCCTTCCCCCGCCCCAGGGGCTGCACGAAATACACGTTGCAGGTAAGCAAGATAGACTCCCAAGGGGGTACGATCGAAGACGAAGAGGGCGGGCATCGAGGTTAAATTTTGGGATATACGTGTTGAA